AAATTTTGCCGCTTTGATGTACGGGCGCTGTAATCTTAGTACGATAAGATGTGTGGGTTAGGCACATCTACACCAATGCAAAGATGTTTTTAGCTAATAGAAGAAATTGCTCATCTTGCAGGTGAATGCAATTACAAGAGTTAAAACGTATATATATATATATTAGAAAATATGCAAAGCTCTATCACATGAAGGCGAATTTCTGATGGCGTTATCTTTAGTTTATTTAATATTACTTAGAAGCTTCAAATAAAAAGATGAAAAGTGGTAACAAATAACAATAACCCTGTCCTTGCATTGTAAACTATTAATAGTGTTGTTAAGGATGTCAGGGTTGTTAACCGCGTGACACCACGGTGCACACGAACACGGTAACGTCATAAACATTGCTTAAAGATGGCAGCCCCACTTTTGGCATGCATAAAAAAGGAGCACGTTCTGTTATACATTTTTAATCAGTGAAGATGTGACACTTGTAGAAATTAATCGACGAATGGAGGTCCAGTATGGTGATGCATGCCTGCCAGTTCAACAAATGCAGGAATGGAGGTCCAGTATGGTGATGCATGACTGTCATTTCAACAAGTGCATGAATGGAGGTCCAGTATGGTGACACATGTCTGTCATTTCAACAAGTGCATGAATGGAGGTCCAGTATGGTGATGCATGCCTGTCAGTTCAACAAGTGCATGAATGGAGGTCCAGTATGGTGATGCATGCCTGTCAGTTCAGTAAGTGCATGAAAGGAGGTGACTTAGGCTAAGTATGGTGATGCATGCCTGTCAGTTCAACAAGTGCATTAATGGAGGTCCAGTATGGTGATGCATGCCTGTCAGTTCAGTAAGTGCATGAATGGAGGTCCAGTATGGTGATGCATGCCTGTCAGTTCAACAAGTGTATGAATGGAGGTCCAGTATGGTGATGCATGCCTGTCAGTTCAACAAATGCATGAATGGAGGTCCAGTATGGTGATGCATGCCTGTCAGTTCAACAAGTGTATGAATGGAGGTCCAGTATGATGATGCATGCCTGTCAGTTCAACCAATGCATGAATGGAGGTCCAGTATGGTGATGCATGCCTGTCAGTTCAACAAGTGTATGAATGGAGGTCCAGTGTGGTGATGCGTGCCTGTCAGTCTACACAATGCATGAATGGAGGTCCAGTATTGTGATACATGCCTGTCAGTTCAGGCGTGAATGGAGGTCCATTATGGTGATGCATGCCTCTCAGTTCAACAAATGCATGAATGGAGGTCCAGTATGGTGATGCATGCCTGTCAGTTCAACAAGCGCATGAATGGAGGTCCAGTATGGTGATGCATGCCTGTCAGTTCAACAATTGTATGAATGGAGGTCCAGTGTGGTGATGCATGCCGTCAGTTCAGTAAGCGCATGAATGAAGGAGGTAGCTGCAGCGCTGACTTCTGTAGCAGACTGTACGCTGTTGATGCATACTCGACCTAGCATAAAATGGGTGCCAGGATGTAGGGCCAATGTCCTTGTGAAGTAAAGATGGCCGGAGTAATGCTGACCCCATTACCCACCTGGTGCCCTTTAGTAAAAAAAAAAAAAAAGCGTGCTCTTCCCATGTGCCCCATGCGCCCAAGGCGTGAAAAAGGAATATTTTCTTTACTTACCTTTCTGTGAAATCATCATCGTGTAGCGTCCCTTTGCTTAACCTGGCTAGGTTGGAAGTCCACTCCATTCTTTGTAAGCTTTCCCATCTCGTCAACTTCTATGGCGACGTGCCTGTTATTTTGCTAGTCGACCATCGGCTTCTTTTTTTCTCCACACAGAAACGATAACTTGTATTTCTTTTTCATCAAAACCATTGTCGTTTTTAATATGACCATATTATTTTCCTTTTCGAGAAACAATGCTTTCTGTGAGCCAGTCACACTTGATATTCATCACATTGTGTTAAATGTGTGTATGCTTTTCCTCTTCTTGTTTCATGATACTCTAAGAAACGTTTTATTCGAGTCCTAAAGTTTCCGTGAAACAGCATGAAAAATAAATACACAGAGACGTATCAGCACTAAAAGAAATACGCCCGGCTCGCTAGTGTAGCTGGTTAAACCTGACTTAGCTGCGACCGGGTGACGAACTCCTTGTGGTTCAGGCGCACGCCAGATTTATGGTTTTCATAGAATCAAAAAAAAAATTTTTTTTTTATTATCTGTTGACACATTTCTCTTTGCCTTGTTTGTTTGTTTGTTTGAATTACAGGCAGTAAACTCCGTCAGAAATTATTGGTTGTTTGTTTGGTTCTGAACTTTGGCATTGCTTAAGGACTTTAGTGTTGCGTTTACATTCATTGTTACAGCTTTCTGCTGTTGCCTTGACTATGAGCACAAGGTGTATTTTGACTTCGATGGAAAGGTGAATTTATATCTTAGGTAATCAAGCAATCGCGGTTGTAACTACATAGCCAACGGGTCATCCTTTAGTTGATATTTGTCAGTGGAACGAAGACCATACAGAATATCCAAGACTGTTCCATGTGAAAAAGAATTAGTTTAGACTGCCAACTCAGGAATAGCATGCACCTAAAAAAAAACTGCCTTTGCGGTGTAGGCAGGAGTTTCTTCGGATCTGAGGATTCACGGCTCCATGGCTAGTGCTGTCGCCACTTCTGTGCAGGTGGTGATTTTGTGTGTGTATGCCCCCGACAGAAGAAAATCTTTAACCTTACCGAGGATTCGAACCTGGGTCTCCCGCTTGAGAGCCCCTCGCTCTAACCGTTCGTCCAGCCGCTGGAATAGCATGAGCGCGCATTGAATGCATAATTAGCCGTCAGAAAGATTTCTGTGCTAAAATGACAACCAAAATGAACGTTTTGTTGTTGCCTTTTGTACTAGTAAGTGGGCATTATTTTTCAAACAACTCCAATAAAAGCTAAATGTATTTAAAAATAGAAGTCAATAACTCTTTACACACCGTAACACGCAAGTGACGCGGTCATATGATGGTTAGTTGCGTATTCTTTATAGGCCGTTCCAGAACCAACCCCAACAGCCCCTGGTTGTTGTGTGGTTTTTCTAGGCAAATACGTCCAGTAGTTTGCCATTGCTTCTGGACGGTCGGCTTTCTTAATACCACTGTCGAAACCAACACAAGGCGCATGGCCCGCAGCTGGGATCGAACCTGGCAACCCGGCATTACGAAGCGTTCGCATCGACCGGTCATATGATGTAAGATTCATATTTTATGGTTAACATCCTACCTGCCGACTTTGATGGGTAATATGGTTGACATCAAGCCAGACGCCTTTACATTACTGAATTTAAATCCTACCCATTTTAGGCTGGGTCTACCCGGGAGCCGAGGTCATTTAATATTTTAATTCTAACCCAAGATATTCTAGCTGCAGGGCGCACTTTACCGCTGCTTCTCACCTAATTTTCTGACAGTTGTCATTAAAACGATATTATCATTAAGGATAAAAGTGTATCAGTTATATGTAAACTTTGTAAGATGTTTGCTATGCCCAAATCAACTGTTTGTACAATTTATTTTAAAAAGACAAGAAAAGATAAATCAGCACATTTAATGGTGAAAAAAAGGGGTTGGGGTGAGGGGGGTTGAGAGGGGGGGGGGGTGTTGTTGGGTGTTGTTTGTTTAAGAAAAAATAAAGCAGCTGATTTGTCTGTCTGTCTGTCTGTCTGTCTGTCTGTCTGTCTGTCTGTCTGTCTGTCTGTCTGTCTGTCTGTCTGTCTGTCTGCCTGCCTGCCTGCGTGCCTGCCTGCCTGCCTGTCTGTCTGTCTGTCTGTCTGTCTGTCTGTCTGTCTGTCTGTCTGTCTGTCTGTCTGTCTGTCTGTCTGTCTGTCTGTCTGTCTGTCTGTCTGTCTGTCTGTCTGTCTGTCTGTCTGTCTGTCTGTCTGTCTGTCGGCCGGCCGGCCTGCCTGTCTGTCTGTCTGTCTGTCTGTCTGTCTGTCTGTCTGTCTGTCTGTCTGTCTGTCTGTCTGTCTGTCTGTCTGTCTGTCTGTCTGTCTGTCTGTCTGTCTGTCTGTCTGTCTGTCTGTCTGTCTGTCTGTCTGTCTGTCTGTCTGTCTGTCTGTCTGTCTGTCTGTCTGTCTGTTTGTCTTCCTGTACGTACGTACATACGTATGTATATGTGTATGTGTGTGTGTGTGTATGTATGTATGTATGTATGTATGTATGTATGTATGTATGTATGTATGTATGTATGTATGTATGTATGTATGTATGTATGTATGTATGTATGTATGTATGTATGTATGTATTTATGTATGTATGTATGTATGTATGTATGTATGTATGTATGTATGTATGTATGTATGTATGTATGTATGTATGTATGTATGTATGTATGTATGTATGTATGTATGTATGTATGTATGTATGTATGTATGTATGTATGTATGTATGTATGTATGTATGTATGTATGTATGTATGTATGTTATGTATGTATGTATGTATGTATGTATGTATGTATGTATGTATGTATGTATGTATGTATGTATGTATGTATGTATGTATGTATGTATGTATGTATGTATGTATGTATGTATGTATGTATGTATGTATGTATGTATGTATGTATGTATGTATGTATGTATGTATGTATGTATGTATGTATGTATGTATGTATGTATGTATGTATGTATGTATGTATGTATGTATGTATGTATGTATGTATGTATGTATGTATGTATGTATGTATGTATGTATGTATGTATGTATGTATGTATGTATGTATGTATGTATGTATGTATGTATGTATGTATGTATGTATGTATGTATATATGTATATATATATGTATATGTATATATATGTATATGTATGTATGTATTATGTATATGTAGTATGTGTGTATGTATGTATGTGTGTGTGTATGTGTAATGCATGTATGTATGCTTGTGTGTTGTATGTCTACTATCTTTTTATTATATATAGTTTATATAGGTCATCGGCGTATATGACTGTCGTGTGGTTGTGTCAAGTAAAGCAAAATAAGGACCCTTCCTTTCTCAGATGCTCAGCAGACTTTTAACCTCTTTGACAAGAAAGGAGATGGAACAGTGTGCACGTGTCTAGTATCAAATTTCAAAGGTTTGTTTTAAAGGTTAGAGAAATAATAGGGTACCTGATTGATTTAAGGAGCTAGTAATCATTTCAGAATCTGTCTCTGCACATCCCTTTCATGTCGTCGTTATGCGACTGAATGGGGTTTCTGCGATGTGGTAATAAGGCAGGAAGTCATAGATCCGGACACTCCTTGGGCATCTTCTTACAACTTCATCTCTTGCGGGGGTGGGGGGGGGCCGAATTGGAGGGGCGGGGAGGAGGGGGGACATTTAACTCCAACTCCGCCATCATCGCTGTTTCCTTGTAAGACTCGATCCAAGTTTAGTTTTGCGGCCCCCAGCATTTTGCAGGATAATGCATCCTATTCCAAACCCAACACTACCTTTAACTGCCTTATACGACATGCCTGGTATAGTTCAATGCCCTAGTCTTTGCTTCCTCAAAGCGATATGCTAAAACATGGACAGGACAGAACTTAAGGGATCACTAGCTAAATATAAAGTAACAATTCAAAACCAATGGCCTTTCTATATTCGTCCCGTAAATGAGTTTTAGTCTTTTTTTGAGAGCATGCATCTTCCCTGTAGCAACATACAGATGTGAGTCGTGGACTATCTCCCAGACCTTGAAAGAGAATAAGGGCTTTTGAGCTGAAATGCTATAGAAAGATTTTCAGAATATCTAGGACAAAAGAGAAGAGAAATACTGTCATCTTAACAGATCTAAACATCAAGGAAAATTGGCTAAAAAACAGCATTCTGGCTCGGAAGCTGAAATATTTTGGTCATTTTAAGCGCCACAACTAATTGGAAAAAAAATATAGCAGAAGGTATGGTACCAGGAAGGAGGGGCAGGGACCGACCAACACGTTTCAGCCGCTGGATTCATTAGGTGGGAACAGTTCAAGCCCATCTTTGAGCAGAAATTGAAAGAGGATGAGGACGAGAGGGAACTCAAGGAGGCATTCCGTGTTTTGGACAAACACAACAAGGGTGTTATCGCTGTAGAGGATTTGAGGTATTCACTGACACGGTGACGTATTTGCTGCTGCTGCTGCATCTTCTTCTTCTTCTTCTTTTTTCTTCTTCTTCTTCTTCTTCTTCTTCTTCTTCTTCTTCTTCTTCTTCTTCTTCTTCTTCTTCTTCTTCTTCTTCTTCTTTCTCTTATAGCTCTTGCTGTGGGGCATGGATAATCACGTCTGTCCACAACCTTCTGTCTTGTGTACTTGATCAGTTCTGACACAGATGATCTTTCATACCATGATGTAAGACTGCTAGCCTCTTCCCTTTGTGTCTTCCCCTCCACCTCTTTTTCCAACTTCCACATAGCCTGATGTATTTCAGTCTTCTCCATCTTATGACATGACAAAAGAAAGAAATATTATAACAAAGGAATATTGATTTTTCACCACGGTTTTTTCTTTAAAAAAAAAAAAAAAAAAAAAACAAAGGACCCAAGTACTGACCACAAAGTGCACATTACGGTAGCGTTGAAGATTACCCCCTCCTCCCCCCCCCCTTTTCTGCTACTTCCGTGGATGATGAACTGCATGTCTAATGTTGGACTGTTTGTATTAGCACTTCTGATGGCTGTCATGCCTTTGATGCGTGTGTATGCTAGTAGATGTGCTGAGGCTACAGTCTGTATCATTTTTTCCCACAAGAGACTGGTGGACATTCTGTGTGTTTTACGTTGGCACAGGAGTGGAGCAGCTATGGGGTGACCCGTTTGAAATGAAGCTGAAACCGAGATTGCCAACATTGTCAAATCAAGTGAAACAGTCAGACCGGTGAGGAATGCTTCATTTAAACTATGCTAATACACGCAGTGGTAGCTAAGTAAAATAAACCTTCTTCTTCTTCTTCCTTTGTCCTTATGCAGCCAATAGTCGCAGAGAGATATAGTTTCCTTCTTTTGCTAGTGGCGCAGCATGTGTTAATGTTATATTGCCTGGCTGTACTGTGTCGTTTGCTTGTGTGTGCTATCAACATAGTTGGTGAATACAGTCTTTACCATCTGCATATTTTTCTCTCACGCGTATTTCATGTCTAGGTGGATTCTGAGGTCTTTGGGCGATGATTTGACAGACGACGAAATCGAGGATATGATCAACGAGACCGACACAGACGGAAGTGGAACAGTAGATTATGAAGGTAAACTTGGTAGCTGTGAGAAAATAGAATTTTAGAAAGCATGTAGGTTTGTTTTTGGAAATCTAAAGTAGATCTGCATCAATAAATTGCTGTGCAGCATAAACATAGAACTGATCTGTATAAATGAAGAGAAGTTCGGCACAAACCCATAGTGTATCAGTATAAACAGATAGTATTCTCTATTTACATCAAGTTAGGCCTAGAGTACATGTGCGACCGCGACAAGTTTTAGGATCCTACGGAGGGGATTAGGGGAGGGAGGAGGGGGAGGGAGTGGCTGGGAGAGAGAGAAGTTGGAATAAATCTGTTGCAGACAAGTTGTTAAAAGGTGACTAATTGCGAGTTTGTTGATTATTTAAATCGCATGTCTTGGGCTGAAGGTCGCAGACATCAAAGCCTGGCAACACGGCCTATTCATTGCCCCTTTGAGACTGAACAAAAACTAATACTAATAACAAGAGTAACAAGTAGAGGCTGAAAACATGTTTTGACTGTAGTACTGTACTGTTGATAAGTATGTTAGAAAATACCATATGTAATAACTTTCTTTTCAAATGAATAAAGAAAGAAAGAAAGAAATGCAGATAACTAAATCCATGTGATAAGTACATGAAATAACATTCAGTTACGAACAAATGTGACACATTTTAAATTGTTAATGTTGCCCGCAATTATCTACGGCAATGTATTTTAAGGGGATTTAACCGAAACATTTACAGTTAACATACAAGCAAGCATTATCATAGTCTCCCCTGCGTTGCCAATTTTGTTCAGATGCAGCGCCTGAAACGCTAACCCACTCAGCAAATATCACAAGAAGGGAGATGTTTCCGCTGAAATGTGCGGATATCGCCGCTGTAGTTTGAAAAAATCATAACGCAAAAAGGTTTGGGAAATAAACAATAATAACCAAGCAGAAGAGGACATTTTTAACTGAAATTGTAAATTACATGGAAATTAATATAGGGGGGAAAAGGGGGGGGGGGGAAAGGGGGGTAAGTTTTGACCATTGCAAAATAGAACAACTAATCAAGGTATGCATAGAACAAACAACAACTCCAAGCAAAACATTTCGAGTATATGAGGTGAATAATATCATTAAATAGCAAAATAGAAACAGAGATAGTACACTGATGCAATAAACCACACACTAAAATAATAATAATAATAATAATAATAATTAATAATAATAATAATAATAATAATAATAATAATAATAAAATCATTGGACAGATATCACCGATTTAGCAGAACCAAAAATGTAACAATAGACACCAAAAGAACACTCTGTAATACATTATTTTAACAGCATTGTTTTACCAGTGTCAAACGTGTGTCTGTGTTCGCCCCAGTATAGGACGCAATATTTGTTAGTGGTTAGTGATTAGAAAGGATTATCATCACAGCACTCCAGACAGATCCATGGGTGCTCCGATCTCCTTCTCAAAAGCTCCACAAGTGTAAAGCGACTGATGACGCCTGTTCTGTGTTGGTGCAATTTTTGTTTTTATTTTCAAGCCCCACCCTGGCTGATGTCCAGGTCTCTAATATAAACTAACGGTTGAAGAGGGTGTCTGTGACTTGCGCCCAGGAGATTCTTATCCGAATGGTGGCACTTTGCGACACCGGGTACTAATCGCCCGTCGTGCGGTATTGTTGGGGTTGAATGTCAGTCAGCTATTACTAGTGTTCGTGCTTTGTGGCTAGCGCCCAGCTAGAGAGAACGAGTCGCATGGGATAAAGATGCGGTAAAAGAAGTTCAGCCTCCTGACTTTAACGTGTAACGGTAGGTAGGTAGGTAGTTGCATCCCACCAGGACATCACACAAGCGATAAACACCCAGTGACACAAAGTGCCACCATGCGGATGACGATCACCCGTAGAGATGTCCCAGAAACCCCTTTCAGCCGTTATGGCCAGGCTATATTCAGGGCTTCAAATAAAAAATTGCATCCCACATGAAAACTGACTTTAGGTCAAAATAAATTGTAATTGTAAAGTAAGTAGGAACAACTAATTTATTTAATGTGTTAATTAAGTTAATAAAAAGGTGTGTGTGTGTGCTTGAATATATATATATATATATATATATATATATATATATATATATATATATATATATATATATATATATATATAAAGAACAAATAAAGTAATTATCAGCTTGTATAGATAGATCTGTCTTGCTGTGATCTGAGTCTTGATTTCTGTTTGAACATTGCAGTGAACTGTTTGCTAGAACTTAGATTTTAGTATTAAATCTGGATTTCTTCCCTTTTTATTATGTTAGTATTACTCTTTCTTTCTTATTTTCATACTCTGTTAAGTTCCGCTGCAATTGTGTGTGCTGTCCTATTTTTCTGTATTTTACACTCTCAATCTATGTGTGAAATAATAAATTTTACTCTTTCTTTCTTATTTTCATACTCTGTTAAGTTCCGCTGCATTTGTGTGTGCTGTCCTTTTTTCTGTATTTTACACTCTCAATCTATGTGTGAAATAATAAATTTTACTCTTGACACACAAGCTCACTGACACACACACACACACACACTTATTTGTTTACCTATTTTTTCTATTGTTTAACATCATCCTCCTCCTCATTCATAATTCTCCTCCTTCCCTTCAATTTCTTTTTCTACTGCTCATTCTTCTTTATCTTCTTCTTCCACTGTGTTATTGTTGTTCTCATAATAAAAAGGCTTTTTTGTTTTCCACTTCACTACTTTTGCCATTTATGAATTATGTCTTGTCTGTCTTTGTTTTTCCCCCTCTGAGTATCTGGTAATTTGACCATTCAGACGACTTTAATAGTCATATTCTGGATGAAAATCCAACAAAGAATACCCCAGATTACTTGTTCATCCTCTAAAAAACGTTATGATGTGAATACCTGTGATGGCCACACCAAGGGTGTACCATGCAACACTGTGCTGCTTAAAGGAAGATATGTCTTTCCTTATTCCGTCCGTTAATTCACTTCAGGGGGTGCTACCTAAAGGTTTGACTCTCTGAGATTAAAAACTCTAAGTCTTGATGCAGATCAACAGTTCAAACCCCAGATAACCCGTTCAGCCTAAAAACAAAGTTATAATTATGGCACCGGTAATGGGCTCACCAGCTCTGTGTCACTTCCAATGATTAACGGTTAGGTTTTTACAACTATTTTTAATATGTGAGAGAAGTAATGTACCCTTTCCGCACCTTTAGGCGTATTAGTTAGGGCTAAACCAATATTTTTCTGAAATCCCAGGCTATAATGGTGGGAGACTTTTCTTAACGCATGCGGGTCTTGCTAGTCGCACTCGCCATCGTTATGGGAGCTGAGTGGTCTCGATGCATGACGTCCACCTCGAGTGCTGGAAGTTCAGGCTCCTGTTGAGGCTGGAATATGTCACGTGGATTTCTAATAATTTCTCCTGGTCTCTAGGTAGTAAAATCGGACGCCTGTGTGCATTGTTGCCTACGTAATAAAAATCCCTTGGTAGTTGGAAATCACGACACATCCCAGGCAGCATTTGGAGTTGAAAAATGTACCTAAAGTATTTCAGGATCCTCGCTGGTGCTACGGAGTTCGAGCACTGCGCTGAGATTCTTTGGACTCAGGCTTGAGATAGAAGTTAAACGGAGCACTTATAGGTTACTACCCGTGTGCTACAATGTTGATCCGTTGATGAAAACTAAACTCGCCTTGCCTCCTCATAGTGCAGTATACCACTATCATCTGGAAAGATAAAACAAAGTACCAGTAATTATATTTTATAGGTCAATCGGCACTAGGGTTGTTGTTGTTGTTATCGATCCAGCGGCTCATGAGCTTTCGCCCTTTGGCCCAATGCCATGTAGTGGAATTTGCATGTTTTCACAAGCTGTTCTTTTCCTCCGTACAAGGTGTTCCACTTGTCTGGTCTCGGAGGGAGTAGCGTTCTTCTTGTCTCACTGAGTTTTGGGCACTCAAAGAGATGGTGTTCAACAGTTTCGTAGGGGTAGTTACATAGCTGGCACTCTGGGGAGTGTTGTGGCTGTATTCTGTTTAGGTGGCCATTGAGTGGAGTATGTTGCGTTCTAAGTCTGAAGATGGTGGCCTGGTCCCTTCTTGTTAGATGGTTAATGCTGTCATTAGGATCAGGGCCAGACATATGTCTATAAACCTCTCTTCCAGTGTCTTCCATGGCCCATCTGTTCAACCAAGTCTCTTTGTTTATAGCTCTTATCAGTGTTTTTGCTGTCTGGAGGGTTGTAGCTGTAGGTGGTTGTTCTTGTGTTGCTCCTTTCTTTGCCAATCTGTCAGTTCTGTCATTACCTGGTGTGCCAGAGTGACCTGGAATCCACTGCATCACTATTCTGATGTTGTATGAGGTAATAAGCTGATCGGCATCCAGGATTATCTTGGCTATGTCAGTTCTGCAGCGTTCACTGCCCTCCAGAGCTTGAAGGGCAGACATTCGGGTCGGTGATGTGGTCAGCAACGCACTGACTGCCTTTATTTTCCTGGACCTTGCATTGTACCCATGCAAAACTGGCTCGACCCCGGCGCCAAGGTCATTTCTGGAGAGAGAAAAAGTCTGGCTCTATTATGATATTTAATATATTTACAGAAAATGATATATTTACAACAAACAGCATGACTTATTTGTAGTTTTAATTTTCCCAAACTAATTCCTAATTCTACAATTATTACTGGTTTGCTTTTCTTTTCTGTGTGAAATTTCCTTTGCAGAATTCAGAAACTTGATGTGCTCAAACTGAAGTCTTTGTCATCAACATGTTCATGCCTCTGTTATCACCACCCTGCCGATGTTTTCAATTAATTTATTTTAACCACATCATTCAAGATCTTAACATACAATGGACGCCTCGGTTCTTAAACCTAATTATTTTCTACAAGTTGTTTGGACAGCGAGTTCGAAAGCATAAACATGTTTTCCTATTTTTTAATTTGTGTAAAAGGGATTAATTCGCATCTCAATTCAAGATGTGTGCTCACATATTTAAATATATATACAGTTTTCCGCAAAAGAGAAGCAGAGACAAAGAAGATTATTGTATTTAATATACATATTATCGACAAAATGAACAATTAAGGAACACGTTTAAGCAGGTCCATCCTGTCTCTTGGAAAAGAAACCATCAAACTTTAAACCATAACCTAACGTTTTTTTTTTTGGGGGGGGGGGGGGAAGGGGGGGGGTCGGGAGTAGGGAAGGGGGAGGGGGGTATTTGTCCTTTTTCACCTGTACGCCTCTGAGTATTCAACCCTAAATCTAATTTTCCGAGAGCGGTCGCCTCAATACGCTTTACAGTAGAGCTTTGTAAGTTTCACAGTGACCTGCTAGCCCATAAGTTGCAATAGAAGATTCGTATTAGGGGGACAAGAACGTTCCTGCCATAATACCAAATTGCCTCAGCTGGTTCGCCAAGGCTGGAGAGTTAGTGAACGCATTGATAAAGAAGACCATTACAAGACATTGCACATTCCAGAGTCTGTACTGTGGGAAAGGTGACCTTTTGTAGTTATTTCAAAGCGTTGTTAACGAAAACTAATAAAAGACACCGCACATTCAAAGTGTCTAAAAGTATGTAAATTACCGATAAAATTTCCAGCCATCTCCTTGTGAGATGCAATTTTTTGTTATTTTGAAGCCCCACCCTGGCTCTTGCCAGGGGCCGCAATATAGCCCGGCCATAAATATGGTCTAGTGGCTGAACGCAGTTACTGGGACCTCTCCACGGGTGATCCACATCCACATGGTGGCATTTTGTGTCATCCGGTGTTTATAACTTGTAAGATGTCCTAGTGGGGTAAAAATCTACTACTACTAAATTACCGACTGAGTATTAGGAGCCGAGCCTGAGTTTCCTTCGGAAACCAACAGGCTCTCCTTCTAACACTCCTCCCCCCCCCCCTCCCCCCATTGCTAGCATCAGATGCTTATGGTCAATATTGCCCGGCTTTTCAAAATTCCACACAATGGTTCACTAAATACTTCTGTATAAAAATTAGTGATTTAATAGTTTCATAACTGCTAACGATCACACGTGAATCTTTCATCCATTAAACAATCTGTGTATGCGATTCAGATTTATGACTGAAACACCACACATATTTAATATGGTATGACTTTTTTTTTGTTGGTACAATTATATTTTTTTGAAATTAAATATTTAATACCAAATTTATTGATTACATATATCTTCAGCATCCGCATAACCCAAGTCGTCCCTTTGTGGGATGCAGGTTTTCGTTATTTTAAGCCCGACCCTGGCTTTTGTCGGGGACCCTTAAAATAGCTGGGCCACAAATGTGGCCATAAAGGCTGAAGAAAGGGGTTTCTGGGACCTCCCCACGGGTGATCCTCCTCCGCATGGTGGCACTTTGTGTCACCGGGTGTTTATCGCTTGTGTGATGTCCTGGTGGGGTATAACAATCAAACAAGCAAGCATCCGCGTTTTTTTTTTATGTCTCTTTAGTATGAATACAGTACTTCATTTATGTGTTGTGTATGTTGTTAAACGGATTATCCTTTATTATGGTCTGACTGCATTCGCGTCTGAGAATGAGTATCGTTTAAGCATTTCGTGAGTTCATGGCCATCAGAGTCATATTGTATTGATGCTTAAATTCTTCTTAAGAACGAAGTCAAATAACCCCTTATTGATTGCCTTTACCCAAGAACATCCCTTATCTGCAAAGGTCTGTAGGGTTCACTGCCTAATGTTAGCATCAATGTGTTGGGTGTTTTCCTGTTGGATTTATTTACATCCAGTATGAGACTGTCACAGTTTTAGGGAGTGTCATACCTTTGGGGAGCAGTCTTGCTAAGGAATTTAAACAGACAAATCACTGCCCTCCTTGGGCAGCAGGGAATATCAGCATAGTTCTTCTTGTTTGGTGCTCAGATTAGGACTTCTTAGAATGTTCAACGGTGTATGTGTGATTAGCTCTGTTAGAGAATTTTTTAATTGTAGGGGTGTCCAAACGTGAGATAGCTTGGGTGTGGGGTGGGGGGGGGGGGGGGAGTCACTAACTGAGTCAGCCAGCGTCAGTTAGGCATGCGGACTTGACCCAGAATTTAATAATAAAGATAGCATTAAAGATAACGTCAAGTAAAATCGCTGGAAAGGACCTGTGGGAGGGGAGGGAGGCCTTAGGGGGGAGTTGTTCAGGATCGTGATCACTTATTGTGAGTTGGTTAAAGCCTTATACTCTATAGTGGATACATGGGAGGGAGAAGGGGGAGGAAGAGGAGGAGGGAGAGGGGAGAAGGCGAATATAGACACGTCATAATTAGGCTTTTGACGTAACTGAAAATAATATAAGTGAATAATCAAAATAAAAGTTGTCTGTATTTCTCTCTCAATAACTCATAAACTGTTCAGTGTGCGATCATACATCGTCTGAGTGCTTTAATTATGTCTGTATTTATTTATGCTATGTTTTTATAAAATAAACAAAATTATGATACCTGACATTTTAATGTGTTATCTCCCTTGCTTCGAAATTTCGTGTAAGTCGAGAGTTAAGTACACTTCTTCTTCTTCTTCTTCTTCTTCTTCTTCTTCTTCTTCTTCTTCTTCTTCTTCTTCTTCTTCTTCTTCTTCTTCTTCTTCTTCTTCTTCTTCTTCATTTTTCTTCTTCTTCTTCATCATTCCGAACCTTGAGGTTCATTGCTGACATCACCTGCCTCCGTTCATCTCTCTGGTTGGCCTTCTCCTTCGAGTTAGTAACACCAAGTGTTTGCAGTTCTGTCTGGACTTTATCTCTCTATCGTCTTCTTGTTCTGCCTCGTGGTCTACGACCATTCATCTCCCTCGTGAATACAGTTTTCACTTCTCTGTCATCTGACATTCTTTAAACGTGCCCCATCTATACCACATAAATGCCTCTCCACAATCTGCGAACGTCAACAGCATGTATCAGTTCGTGTGATGGCATTCATCCATGTCTTGACAAAAGGCTGTCAAGAATCTTTTCTTCTTTGTTTTTTTTTTTCCACAGATCTTTCCAATGGTCACAACATGTTCAAGTTTCCTACGTCTCATAACATTTGAACAAAAAATTACTTTTTTTTTCTCATAATTGTGTTATCATTTTCTTGTCGTCCCCTCGTGGAATGCAATTTTTTGTTTATAAGCCACAACTCTGGCTTTTGCCGGGGGCCCTGAATATAGCCGGGTCATAAATATGGACTAGCCATAGATATGGTCTTAAAGGCTGAAAGGCTGAAATGCCCTCAAATGTTTGTTAATCTTTATAGCAGCTGTTTGCTGTTGCACATATATTTTCTTTATTATTCGTAGATGTTCGCCATCAGTCTTTGCTTGTTTCTAGTCGTGTTATTATTTCCGCATGTTTCACACAGCCAAGTGCTTTAGTATAGTCAGTGAAACATTAGTAGAGATGGTGCAACATCTGCCGCAAAAATGTCTCTACATGCAACAGAATATGAGACCATCCAAGACGGCATGGTAAAGCACAGAGATAGAGACTGCACAACGCGTCTAGTGGATTGCATGGCACATCACAGAGACAACGCAACGTGTCTCAGAGATTCCACAAGGTCAAACAAAAATGACACTATATCCTTTTGAGGTGGCACCACGTCAAACAAAGATGACACTATCCTACAGAAGTGGCACTGCGGCAGGGTCTCGGAACATTGAGGGTCTCGGCACATTGAGCCCCTGGTCCTATTCCCACACACACCACACACACACAAACAGACACACATACACAAAATTATGTGGTTCTAAAATTATTATACGAATAATAATAATAACGGTTTCTCACCCTCCCCTGAATCGTTTATCAAAGTTCTCTGTTTAAGTTTGTGTTGATACATTTCATACTAATCCAAATATGTTATTATAATTTTTATTTTTGTTATTTTTAATCGCCCAGACAAGGCTTAGGCCCTTGAGTAACCCCGCCCTCACTGTGAATTGATTAGCCCCCCCCCCAACCCCCCCCCCAATTGCTTTCTTGGCAACCATGCCCCTGCACCACACCACACATGGCTCGTGCTCGCACCACAGGTCACATATATGGGATCACACATTTAACCTCACATCATACAGATTGTACTCTATATCACAGAGCCGACACCGCACATACCACAGGGCGAGATCACATCAAACTAACAACATCTGACATTATATCTCACAGGGATGCGTCGGTGTTTCCATATCAGCGACAAAGTCACCCATTGGCTGGACAGTACACTTCCTCGCCCGTCGTCACAGTATTTGCGTCTGTGTCCGCTAATCGCATCAACACTGCAGAGTTCTTTTCAGAGCTAGCCAGTGGCGAGCAATGTTGAGCTACTTTATATGGCGTACATAACCAAGTCAAAAATTATAACCTAAAGCTCCCCTTTCAGGACTGCTGTTTGAACGTGACGATTTTTTTTCCGCACATCCAGCCAAGCATAGAAGTCGATGCTGAACCTTGTGCACCAGGACCAGGGTTGGTAGACGACTGGCTCCAGCTGACGTCACTTGGTCCGGCTAAGTATGCGTTAACGCAGCGGTTCTCAAACAAGAAACAAACTTTTTTCGCCAGTGGCGAGGGCAGACAACTTAAATTTTCAACTTTCAAGTATCTGCAAACTTTCTTTAATAATTTCACAATGTTTAGCCGACTTTTCTTGATTATTTTGCGCACCCCCATCTTACGTTCACGGCACTCCATGGTGCGTCGGTACCCATTTTGAGAACCGCTGCGTTAACGCATCGTAAACCCGACCCGG